ATAGATAGACAGTAAAAGTAGAAGAAAAGGATAAGCAGATAATAGAAGCTCAAACATCTGTGATAGATAGACAGTAGAAGAAAAGGATAAGCAGATAATAGAAGCTCAAACATCTGTGATAGATAGACAGTAGAAGAAAAGGATAAGCAGATAATAGAAGCTCAAACATCTGTGATAGATAGACAGTAGAAGAAAAGGATCAATCGATGGAAGGAATAGGTGTAATAATTAAATCATACAGAAGGACCTGCAAGTTTTTGATTTTTTTTTTTAATTCTTATTATTTTTCTGCTTCCACTGTATATCTACCAATTTTCACGTCTGGTTCCACTTACGAATTTTTATTTACTTAGAAACATGTTTCCAATATAAATGTCTGACCTTGTGTCTAATGTGCAACTAACCAAGTATTGTTCAAACTATGCTACCAAGTGTCAATACTAATATCTTTACTTTCATCCAATCATACCATGATCTGAGTGTTAATTTCTAGTCTCTAATAAATTCAATATAAATTAGAAACAACAAAATAAAATCATAAGTACTGAAACAATAAATTATTTTGAATCAAACCACACAATGGTTATAGAGGCACATAATCCAAAAATGGAACAAGAGTATATATTTACGTGGCATGATCCCTTGTTCTACGAGTTGAGATATTGGCCGACGTTGTAGGAGCTTCTTTTTCAGAGCTGAAACCACAATTGTATACATAAATCACCAAGTAGTGTGAAAACAGAGCTAAAATAAAACAGTACTGACAGAAACTAAGAAAACCTTACTACATTGACACAAATCTACACATAAATCTCCAAGTAGTGTGAAATGGAGCTAAAACCAATACTGACAAAAACAAACAAAACCCTTCACACTGACACAAATCTACACATAAATCTCGAATTAGTGTGAAACAGAGCTAAAACCAGTACTGACAGATACAAACAAAACGTTACACACTCACAAAATAAAACAATAGATCGACACACAACATCTTACATTATTTCTTCAAACTAATGACAGTATCAGTGTATGTTACAGAGCTATTTTTAAACTAAGGACAGTATCAGTGTATGTCACAGAGCTATTTTTAAAACTAATGACAGTATCA